CAGGTGCATGACTAATAGAACAAAGGAGGTGATGCTCCCCCTCTATGCGGCACTGGTCAGGCTGCAGTTGGAGTACTGTGTCCAGTTTTGGGCGCCACACTTCAAGAGGGACGTGGGGAATCTTGAGAGGGTCCAGAAAAGGGCCACTTGCATGATTAGTGGCCTTCATGATAGACCCTACGGGGGGAGGTTGAGAGAGCTGAATCTCTTCAGCCTTCACAAGAGATGGCTGAGGGGAGATCTTGTGGCCGCCTATAAATTTATTAGGGGAGGTCAACGGAATAGGGGATGTGCTGTTTACTATTCCCTATGATACTATGTTTACTAGGGTGCCCCAGGGAGTCACTAAGAATAATGGGTGTAGACTAGTTGAGAGTGGATTTAGGTTAGATATTAGGAAGAAATTTTTCACAGTAAGGGTGGCCAGGATCTGGAATGGGCTTCCAAGAGAGGTGGTGCTGTCGCCTAGCTTGCAGGTCTTCAAGAAGAAGCTAGATAGAAACCTGGCTGGGGTCATCTGACCTCAGTCCTCTTTCCTGCTAGGGGCAGGGGGTTGGACACGATGATCCATTGTGGTCCCTTCAGACTCTACAATCTATGAATCTATGGCCCTGCAGCCCCAGAGTGGCCAGAGCAGGACTGGGCTGCACATGGCATCCACTCCAGAATATGTGCTGAATTTAGCACGCAAGGCTGGTCGGTGGGTTCAATCCAGTCCGCAGACTGGACCCATGCTATTCATATGGCCCATGAGGCCAGATAATTTTGACACCCCTGTTCTAGGATGTTTGTATCTCCCTTCCCTATCTTTGCTGCCAATTCCATTCATCATCTGGTAGCTGCTCTTATTTGTGAAAATGAAAGTAAAACAGGCATGTACTCTTCTCTGAATCATCTATAACTAGACGCATTCTCAATTCTCAAGGAACCTATAGTTTCTTTGGTCTTCCTCTTAATTTTGACACATTTGTAGACTCTCTTTTTACTGCCTTTTTTGTCCCTTGTCAGCTGCATCTCAAATCATGCCTTGGCCTTCCTAATTTTCTTCTTGCATGCATGTGCTATATTTGTATACTCTTCCCTAGAACTATGACCAGCTGAAACCAGGCTGGTCTCCAGTCTAGCAAAGCTAGTTTCCCATTACACTCCTCATCCTTCCATTGTATTGGGATAATTTGCTCCTGCACCCTAAGATGATCCTCTTAAAGTACAGCTAGCTTTTCTAAAGCATGTCTACACATGCTATTAATGCACAGCAATAAACTCTGATACATATCACACTCGAGTTTATTGCTCGCAGGTGCACTGTTTGAAGATCCATCCAGGACTGCAGCAAGTTGAACTGGGTCAGAACAGCTCTGGCTGGCAGGGGATCCCGGGGCTCAGCCTGCCACCCCGGGGCTGCTCCTGCCTGGCTCAACATGATGTGCTGGGCATGAGAATGCTTCAGTATGGGGCTAGCC